AAATACATTTACCGTTAACAATAATTTAAAAAAAAAAAATCCAGACGACATCCATCCAACGGATGTCAGTTTTCATTGTAAAATACATCCCTACCCCTTACCAAATTGTAGCTAATAACTGATACAATGATACTGACATAAGGAAAACCTAGATATCCCTTGTTCAATTCAAGTAGAATATTCTGTAACCATGGAAACGTGATTTTAGCTGTGTCTTTAAAACCCGGTAATTTTTAAAAGTTACTCCAAAATTCGCTTGAAGATGAAATGGAACTAATGCTTTTAATTTAATTGCAAAATTAAATTCGGGGCTTTTAGCTTCTATTTTTGAAACATGGTTAGAACTGTGTAGCGAAAAAAAAACATATTTTAAATCAATTAATTTATAATATATATATATATATATATATATATATATTTGGCAGTAATCTACTTACTTTCTTTCCTCATTGTCGAAAATGATAACTCACCTTCAAGAACCAATTTGCAGCGAACCAATACTATTTAAGAATTCCCCTGCCCCTTAAAAAACTGTGTTACTGCTCAATCTAAATTCGGAAATAATTATATTGGATATCCTACGCCAAGCCTAACAAGAAGACTCACTCTTAAATCGCTCTTATCATGGCTCAATAAAATCTCATTTAAATACACATGAGAACCTTCCAAACTCTATCCTTAACATACTCGTTAATAATACAAATGTAATAGCCTCATGTACATGTAAAAAGAAAAGACTCAAAATAATGGAAGCATTATTAATAAAACATAAGGAGCCAATACTCAATAATATCAACGATGAACACGGCCACACTGTGTCAACCGTGTTTGGAAAATAAAACATTCATATAACTCTAGATGCTTACATAAAACAATTCATACATTCAGTTAAAAGTAAACATAAAATTTATCCTTGATAATGGCTAAACGTATATCCGAAAACTCACGGACATATAAAACATCCAGGCAATTTCTACATTAGTGACATCCAGAAAAGAAGAGAAAATAAGAACATATGAAAAATTAAATATATGAATTAAACAGAATATCTTGCAGTTTTTGGATTGATTGTTGTAGGTTGATGTTTATATATACTACCTGCGAATGATAAATTTTAGCTCTTGAAAATATATTTAATTTGAGCACAGTTGAATGACAAGCTAATTCTACAAACAACAGCCACCTGCGTAATGCGATGCTCTTCAGTAAAATGAATGGAGCACCCCGGCTGCTTGATATTTGTTTATCTTTGTAAAAACAATACGCTAGATTTAGCTGCCTCGTTCTGTCGAATGAAGATAGCTCAGTGGTAGAAACTGACAATAAATCAGTTGGGTTTCAATCCTGGCTTGAGGCATTCAGTTGTCTAGTCGCACTGAAGAGCAGTGATACAGCGAAACAGTACTGTCTGAGAATGACATATATATATATATATATATATATATATATATATATATATATATATATAAAGTTTCAAATTAAAAATTATAATGTTTTATTTTATGAAAGTATTTATTTATTTATATATATATTTGATATTTCAAATTGTCCACAATTTTTCATTAGAAATAACTGTTTGTTACAAATAAATTAAAATTACTGTTTGTTAGCAAGTAGCGTCCTTCGCGAGACGCGGACGTCACGTGATATGGAACGTCACTGTTCGGATATTCCTAACTTAAATCTAACTGTCATAAATATTTAAAAAAATATTTTTTTACTATATCTAAAAAAATTGCTTAACTATTGAAATATTTATAAAGATTTAAAACACCTAAGTCCCTATTCAACCCTAATTTATGTGTATTTAATTTTAAAATCCAATATGTTTCTTTTTTTCTGCGTGTGAATGTGGAAGTAAAATCGGAATCTATTAATAAACATTTGCAGTTTTCTAATGTGTGTCCTGATTGATTGTAGTGTTTAGCTATGGGGGAATAAGGGTTGTTTTGACGTATTTTTTGTTTATGGTTATTAAAACGAAATCTAAAATTGTTTCCAGACTCACCAATATATCTACTATTAGGACATAAGGTGCAGAATAAATAATAGATTACGTTGTGGGTATCACAGGTATATCAGACTAAATAAAATAAAATAAATTAAGATTAAATAGGTCAAGGTCTGGTTCCTCCTCCTCCAATACTAAGTATGATGGAAAGAAATATTAAAATAAACCTTCTCTAAACTGGACCATGTCTCTCACACCACTCCTTGCTACCCTCTCTGTTAAATTACATAAACTTAATACTACCCGTCAAAAGTGTGAATTTTCATTTCATCTTTCGTTTCATTTTTTGGAAGTGTTATCTGTGATCCAGCGTCCTTTAAAAGGACTCTGGTGAAATAAATTATTATAGTGGAGTTTTTAAGTTGTCTGTTTTTCTTAAAATTATTAGCAATGAATTTACATTGAGTTCTCAGGATTTCATCCTCCTTGGGACTACCCATACGGATTACCAAGTTTTTCATAACTTAACTATATATATATATATATATATATATATATATATATATATATATATAAGCCAAACTGGAAAATTTCTTGTGGAGCGTGGCATCCGTTAGCATTTCATCGGCCAAGAAATATTCCAGTTTGTCATATTTTTCTAAATACTGTTTGTTGATATATAAAATTATATATCGCTGTATCTTATATTGCTCTTCAACAATGAATTGAGCTCTCCTGGCTACTGTGCCACGATAGCGTAGGGGTAGAATCTCTGACTAATAACAAATTTCGGGATTTGATCCCAGCTTGAAGAAAATCGGACGTCTAGCCACACTGAAGAGCGGCGAAACAGTGTGCCTGAGAATGTCTATACATATGCTCTCGGGAAATCTGGGAAAAAGGGTAATATTAAAACATATATATATATATATATATATATATATGCATGGAAGCATAACCTGTGTCCCTCTTTATATTACATACGTTCTATTTCTGATAGTGAGCACTTCTACCCATAGATATAGCATAGCGTACTGTAAAACTATATTTTTATCATGTTTATCACGTGATAAACAGTTGGACACTTTATGACCTAGCATGGAGATTTAAAATAAAGATGGGCTGAAGAAAGCGTTTAAGCATGAAACATACCCCCTTATATCAGATTTTGAGCACTTTTACCCGTAAATATAGTACATCTTAAAAGTATATATTTTGTGATATATATATATATATATATATATATATATATATATATATATAAGTATATGTATATTTATTAGTATATACTCCTTAACTCACAGGTATGTCAGTAAACAGGGTGCACACGAGCTCAAATACACACACACACACACACACACTTTTATCCCTTTCTCTCCCCCTTTCTCTCTCTCTCTCTCTCTCTGTCTATATATATATATATATATATATATATTAAAATATAATTTTTATCTCTTTCTCTCTCTTTCTCTCTCTCTGTCTATATATATATATATATATATATATATATATATATATATATATATATATATAGGTGTGCAAAAGTTAGGTACACGGTATTGAAAGATAATAATTGTTTCTAATCAATACAATACGTTTTGTGCACACGCTGTTTTTTATTACTGTATACCTACTTTTGCACTCACATACGCACACAGACATAGAGACGTATATATATATATATATATATATATATATATATATAT